TAAACAGCGTGTATATGTCAGGAGCTGCAACGGGTCCTGGTGGGGGCTAGTGTCAACCTTGCTGTGGTGCTGCTGATAGGGTGTGACGTGCGTTTGGGAGGAGATGCAGTGATAAAATACAAGGGGCGGGGCAGGAGAGAAGGGGATGTGAGTAATGTGATGGGGTGCGGCGTGTTACGACCCGGAGAACCAGCCTCACATTCATCTCCTGGGCCCAGCAGCCACGTTCAATTACCAGCCGTCTGTGCCGTTTCATGACCGGATTCGTAAGAGCCAGTTTAGTCGGGAGTCTCACGGCGCCTGGCCATCTGTGCCTCATGATGGCCGTCTCAATTGATTTACTGTGCTTCGCACTGTTCAATGTTTTTCCGCTCGACGCAGTTGCGAGGCGAAGCGGCAATTTCAATCGATGATCATGTCACGCACCCGTAAATTATGATGCATTGTCTCATCTCGCAGACAGCTCGTGTTTGTCGCGGCGGTTCACGTTGTCTAATACATTATGCCTTATCTCTTCTTTCAGCGCCGTGCAGCCTCAACTCGTTCTTTTGCCATAGCAACATGTGCATCAATAACTCGTTGGTGTGCAACGGGATCCAGAACTGCGTCTACCCCTGGGACGAGAACCATTGCAAAGGTGAGGAAGACGGTCACTCACATTTCCTGTCATGCATTGCTTCTATCGTGCGGTCAATGCGACCGAGCCATTACGTTAGACTTACGGTCTCCCTCCCCCCTTCACGAACAGAGAAGAAACCCAAAGGCTTGTTCCACCAGATCACTAAGACCCACGGCACGGTGATCGGCGTGTCGTCCGGCGTGGTCCTGGTCCTCCTGATCATCTCCATCCTGGTCCAGATGAAGCAGCCCAGGAAAAAGGTTGTCGCCCGTCGGCCCGTCTTCAACAAGGCCGGGTTCCAGGAGGTGTTCGACCCGCCGCACTACGAGCTCTTCTCCCTCCGCGACAAGGAGATCTCATCTGACCTGGCCGACCTGTCAGACGAGCTGGAGAGCTACCACAAGATACGCCGGTCCTCCACCACCTCGCGCTGCGTCCACGAGCACCACTGCGGCTCGCAGGCCTCGGGCGGCAGCATGAAGCAGAGTCGCACCACCCTGAGCTCCATGGAGCTCTCCTACCACAACGACTTCTCCAAGCCTCCGCCCATGAAGACCTTCAACAGCACCTACAAGAAGAGCTGCTACGGCTACAAACAGACTCACGACTGCGCCGAGCAGGTCATCGAGGACCGTGTCATGGAGGAGATCCCCTGTGAGATCTACGTCCGCGGCGGAGCGGCCGGGCCCAGCACCGTGCCAGGGGTTTGTGGCACCCTCAGCTCTCGCAACGGGGGCCGTAATAACACCACCATTGTGGACCCCCAGCAACGTTCTATGTCCATGGATTTCTAGGTAAAGTGAGGAGAGAGGAAGACGACCAATAGGAGGAACAGACCTCCGGACTCATTCCGTTTTTTCTTTTCTTTTCTCTTGGTCAATCAAACGGGGAAGGATACCAGCATGCATATTCAGCGTATCCTTGGATGCACAAAAACCGGAGACTACCACAGAGGGGAACAGAGAAAGCTCCAAAAAACTTAAGGCTGTGTTTTTACATTAATCACGTCAAGCACAGGTGTGTTATGCTTCTCATAACTTATTTGAGTCTTATTTCGGTCTGTGTGCTGTATATTAAAACTATAGGATCAAGCTATATTTTGTCGCTGGGCTTTTAATCCGTTCATTTTGTGTTGTTTGATTAAAATGAATTGCATACGACGACAATGATGTGACACAGGTTAGGATTAACAGGCATACATGCAAAGCTCCATTGCGGATAATATGTTTTGGGGGAAAAGGTTATAGTAATACAGTCTGAAGTGGCTGGTTTTCATGTAGGTTATCTAGACTGAGGAATAGGTTTGTTTGTATGTGCTTTTTAATATGGTGGACTACAAAATCTATGGGACCCAGGAAGTTATGGGTTTTGGTGTAGAATAAGGAGGTGATTTTAATACCCAGACTAACTGCTAGATAAGAGTCCATTACTTTCTGATTGAACAGCACTAGGAAGTCGGAACAGAACGTTGAATGGCGTAATAGCAGGTGGAAAGTGTAAGAACAGGTGGGTAAAACAAGCACAAACTGTCCCATCGATCGGAACGACACGGGCCACTTTTTATTCTTTCAATCACTGGTTGTATGATTTCATTAACTTTGATTAAAGGAGAACTTACTCACTGGTCTGTGTATGACTTTTTATTTTTCACCAAAATAAAATGCTCACAGATTTGTGTAAAAACAAAATCCCACAGGTGACTACAAACATCCAACTCCACCAGTTCAGAACCCGCTTGCCACCAAAATAACCTTAAATCCTAGTGGTATTTGTGGATTTTGCACTGTTAAATTGTGGCTCAATGACTTTTTCCAGAAAGATATTTCCAACGTCACTGCACAACGGTGACCAGCCTGTTCGCTTAACACCAACTGCCATCAGCGTAACCCAACCAGAACCAGGATCCATCAGGCAGAACAATGTTCTCAGTTCGGTCAGATGCTGGTGATCACATGCCCACTGAAGTGACTTCTGGTTTGTAGATGATAGAAGTGGATTGCAATGTGGTCGTCTGCTGCTGTGGTAGCCCAGAAAAACTGTCATTTTGTGTGTTCAGAGATGCTGTTCTCTGTTCTGTGCACCACTTCTGCATGTCACTGAACTATTATACTACTACTGTTTCTAGCACATTTGTTAGTTTGCACAATTATTTCTATTCTCCCTCCACCTGTCATCAACATGCTGTTTTTGCCGACATGACTACCAACGACAGGATGTTTATGTTTTGTTGCACTGTAAACCCTAGATGGCAGTGTTGGCAGAATTGAAATTAGCCTCCTTGACACCAACAATGTTACCAAGCTCACAGTTGCTTAAGTTAATTTTGTCTGTTCTAACCTTCAACTGAACAGTCACTAAATGTCCTAACGCTTGTCTGCCTGCTTTATACAAGATGCCACATCCATATGACTTTGCAGTTGAACAACAGTTTTTTTTGCAAACTACTTTAATGTTTTGAAAAACGGTTTGGGCAAATGGTGAACTTTTGTAAAAATGATTGGTCTAAAATGGCTAGCACCAAGAGCTTCTCATAGGCTAATGACACTAGGGGCCAACAGCTTAACTGAACAGTATTCTGGGTAAATCCACATGTGAATGGAAGGGTTCTGGGATTTTTACCCAGAATGCAACCTTTGTGAAAAAAAGTTACGGATTTGAGCATCTATTACTGTGAACTAATTATCCTGATATAGTGAATTTGACTGTCAGAACAGGTTGGTGAACTTTTGAGAAGCTTAAAATGAATACTTATTCAATATAATAATTAAATATTGTGTTGAAGGGAACAGCAGCTATCACCTTGAAAATTAAGATTATGGATGAATTACATAAGGAGCTTCGTTGGACTCATTTTTAAAATATACTATACCTAAACATATTTTCAAATACATTTGACTAATTAAGCTCATCTAGCTTGACTATTGGTGCCACATATGACCATGTATGAGGCCATCAGCGTTTTAGCAACTTTGAAATTACTTTCATGTGCCAGCAAGTCTTTTATGAAGCACTGTTTAATGAATTTGAAAAACGTACAATCTTATCGGTAAATATTGCCAGTGAAATATGGGGTGCCGTTGGTAAAATGTTGCATGTTGTATTCAGCTCTGGGGTTAAGCAGGACACAGACGCAAAGGTAAGTGCAAAACGATGACTTAATTCAAAACAAAAGCAATCCACATACAGGTAACTGGAGCTTAACACTTAACAATAGCCGACAAGGGCTGGGACAAACTAAATACACAGGTGAATGAGGCAACTAGACACAGGTAAGGGGAAACACAGGTGTACATGTTAGAACTAATTAGCCCACAGGAAAGACCAAATTGAGATGTGCAAGACAACAACAAAAACAAGACAGGACAAGCCAAGACAATTACACTGTATTATAATAAATTCATTTCGGGCAGGTTTAATCATTACAATTGTAGATTTTCTAAAGAAAATTGTCATAAAAATACAAACAAGCCCACAATTTGTGAGAAAACAGTAGTGTTTCAATTTGCCTCACAATACAACTGCAGCACTGAGGATCTGGAATATGTGATCACTCAGTTTAAGCACATTTTTGATAGGAAACCCCCCCCCCCAGGTTAATAGAGCTCACTGGTTACCTTGAGCCATAAAGGTATTATTATGGAACTGCTAGCCAAGCAAGATTACACATTTGAAAGGAAAAGAAATACAAATCAAAGAAAGTTAACAGACATTGGAAATACACAAAACTAAATAATTAATTGCCTGGCTGAAATGGTTCACACCTGAATAATTATTGAAGTTGCAGAAAGTGAGGCTGTCAGCATTCTAGTTCACGAGACCGAAAACAGTAACAAGAAGGAACAGATGTCCTTTGTAATTCCATACATTTACAATATGTGAACGTTTCCTCACCTTTAAAGCAGCAAAGCACCTGGATGCTCCTGTACTTTCACCGAAAACTGTAGAAATACTGCAGTAGTATGGCCTTGACTACAGAAAGCAGTCTTTGAGTCAAGGTCATGTGCACACTAATGGTGGCCCGAGGTACAGAGGAAGATGTTTCAGCATGCCCATGAGAGAGTTACAAAGGCTGAGAGACACGGTGGGCATGTAGGTACAATGCCTACAAGACAGTGAGAGGGACCGACTGCCAGCCATGATTTGTCTACTGACATAGATGTTGAGAGAGATGTAGAGGCAATAGGTGTAAACACGTTCCCAACTTATAGCCTCGGTCACATAGTACTCATTGTCAGGTCTTAATGCTCACATACTTACCCAGATATTAACCCGGTTCCAAAAGTCTAGTAATTAACTTTGCTTTGTTCCAGTTTATGGTTCTAGTTTTTATTTAACCTTTACGTAACCGGGTAGGCCAATTGAGAACAAATTCTCATTTGCAACACCGACCTGGGGATTGAACCCAGGACATCATACATTCAAAGCATGCGCTCTACCACTGAGCCCCAACTCATGTTTAATCGAACCTTGTGAATTTGCATCTAATTCCTTGAGTTCAGTCGTCTATCGTGACAAGAGGTCTAATTAGCCCAAATAGATTGAAAGTTTGTTGGCCTCCTTGAATCATTCAGCAATGAATTTGGTGAGATAAAACAAATGTCAGATATTTAGTCCCCACAACTCAAATTGGGCACGGTTGTTACCCGTGTTGATTCTCTTGTTGACACATTGAACAGTTATCTTTAATGAGATTTGGGACAATATTGTGATCCTTGCCGAGCAACGCAACATCAGCAAGCAGCGTTGGCTGTCCAGGGCGTCTGGTCACACCAAGCTCTAGGCTATGTATTACATTTCCACTCCAATAGATTGAAGACAGGTCAACAAAGATAAGGAGTCATTTCGGGCAGGTTTAATCATTCCAATTGTAGATTTTCTAAAGAAAATTGTCATAAAAATACAAACAAGCCCACAATTTGTGAGAAAACAGTAGTGTTTCAATTTGCCTCACAATACAACTGCAGCACTGAGGATCTGGAATATGAGATCACTCAGTTTAAGCACATTTTTGATAGGAAAAAAACCCCCAGGTTAATAGAGCTCACTGGTTACCTTGAGCCATAAAGGAAGTTGTTCCATAAGATATTTCACATTGGCTAAATTGCATTGCATTGAATTACCCGTGGGCACGGTATTTCACAATATAACTTCATCAAGAGTGTCTTCAGAAATACAATGGGTGGTGAACAATTTAGCAATTTGGGGGTGTTATGTGTAGAACAGCTAGGGCCATAAATCTTGATGATTTGTGGTTTGCCCAAAAAATATTCAGCAACAGTAAGAAAAAGTGTATGCAAAATAATTTCAATCTGAATAGGTTGTGAGGTGTCGATAGTAAAATGTATATTGCTGTCCATGATTACGCTTTGTTTGGTTATAATAATTATTATATTTTTTTGCAAATCTCACTTCTAGTGGTACACATATGGATGATAAGGTGAGAGATAAATAAATATAGACACCATCACTTTAGGTTTAAGAAAGTAGTTTAAGGTCATGTGTCTTGCACAAGGGCAGAGCAACAGATCAGCATTTACATTGGGATTCACCCATTCCACATTTCGGTTCCCTGTTGTATGTGTGCACCAGGTGCCTGTGTGCATGTAAAGGTCGCGCTGTTGTAACTGACTGGGATCTAAATGACATTTGGATTAATATATACAAAATAAAATCCAAATGTGTGCGACAAAAAAATTACACAATAACCACACGTGTGAGTAGCGTGAAAATTTGCGCATATCTTTCAAACAACCCCGGTGCAATATAAACGAGGTGAGATTTACGTACTATTATTTACCGTTCTCGGCGAAAGGTTAAAGTGGAAGAAAGCGGCGCGTCACGTGTGCGGCCGGTTCTTTTTCGTCTCGCTCGCGTCTCGTGCGGAAGGTCTGTCTCCCCCTGTGCTGCTGCTGCTGCTTCACCATGGCGAACGTTGTCGACACTAAACTATACGATATATTAGGGGTGCCACCCACTGCCACCGAGAATGAGTTAAAAAAGGTAACTTTAATTCTATAATGTTTTTGTCAGTCTAGGCGGTGTGGAGTTTGTGAGTTGTTAGTAGTTTCAGGAAATGGGGTTACCATGGCCTAGGAAATGTAGCTAACTCGGCTAGTTGTTAGCAACCGAGCGGCTAGCTGTTAGCAACCGAGCGGCTAGCTGTTAGCAACCGAGCGGCTAGCTGTCTGTTGCTACATAATAACGCTAGCTGGTTAGCTTCACTAACCGTGAGTCATACATTTTAATAAATGTTCGTCGTTAACTACTATGTATTTGGATCATTGGTTTAGCTAGCGTTGCCTATTTTTGAGTGCTTTTAGTCTAAATACTAACCTGATTTAATTACAGCAATGCTGGAGGATTAAAATAAACGTTTGGCGTCAGTTTCCTTGGTATAGTTAGCGTTACGTTAGTACTGAAATTGTGTAGTAACGCATTACATCGACGCCGGGTACGGTTAATATTCCCGTAGATAACGTCAGTTCAGTGTTTATTTTTCTCAGAAACACCGACTATCGTGACAGTACACTATTGATAGCACTTGCTGTGTTTACGTTTCCCCCAGACCGGTAAACTGACGTTACCTAGCCAGGTAGCTAACTACGATTGCTATGTAGTGGAGTTAGGTTTAGCACGATGCTAGCAAATACTAGCGCATTTTTCTGAGTCAATGTAACCGTATAATTGACAACCAGGCTGTCATGCCTAATGTGTGTGTGTATATATATATATATGATAACATGTCCGCTGTTTTGGTCGTAGAGACTTAAGCAATCATGTTCAAATCTAAACGGTATTGTTTGTTAACACACTCATGCTAGGTGGCACCGCACTACGTATCTATCTACCACATTTGCAGTTAGTCGGCTAACGTTAGCTGATTCACGTGTTTAGCTGGAAACTGTTAATGTTCAGACTAGTAACGACACAGCTAACCAGCCCATTAGATTCAATTAGGCTGACTTTAGGTGTTTGTACAGTAATTAAAAACGATAATTGATGTTTGATTTGAGATCCTTAATTTTATTGTGAGTTTTTATTTAGCTTGCTTGCGGAACAACGAGCGTCAGATTATTGCGAACGACTGTATATGGCTAACGCATATACCACTTGTTTTACATACAATGTGAACGTGTTGGGGTTTGGCGACTTATTGACTAGGGTTTATTTTAGGGAAAAAATGCACTCTGCCGATAACTAACTAGTTTTTTTGTATTATGTTGTATTCATATACGCTTCTCTGTTTTCAGTCATACCGGAAGCTAGCAAAGGAATATCACCCCGATAAGAATCCAAATGCAGGAGACAAGGTATGGAAACATGTGTATTTGTCCTAGTGTAGTTCACATTGGGAATGTAATGTATGTACTGTGACGAAAATATTCTGTGTTATTCATTGTCTACATTTACTACTGTTTATTTTACTCATGTCCCCTTGAAACAGTTCAAGGAGATAAGTTTCGCATACGAAGTGTTGACTAATCCAGAGAAGAAGGAGCTGTATGATCGCTATGGGGAGCAGGGACTGCGGGAAGGAGGTGGTGGCGGCGGGGGGATGGATGACATCTTCTCCCACATCTTCGGTGGTGGACTCTTTGGCTTCATGGGCGGACAGGGACGCAGCAGAAATGGTGGTAGACGAAGAGGAGAGGACATGGTCCATCCACTCAAGTAAGCCCATTCTAAGGATTGGTGATGTTACCTTTGCCGGCCATCAACTAATATCCAGTGTTCTTAGATTCTGATTTATCTTTGGAACGGTTGTGCTTAAAGTCCCACTGGTGTTGGCACCTGTATATTGAGGCTGCTAATACATGGCGTTGATTTAAGTTTTAGTAAACGTATAACAGCTGGAATACTGTCGGTTTAACTTGCTGACATTACCATGCCAAAACCACACATTACTGTGATACCTTGTTTAATAATGTGAATGTTGTGATACGGTTCTGCTGTAATAAGACGGCAAGTAACTACTTACTTTTTTTTTCATTTAATTACTTTAAAATCTCATTGACCCGGTAGTTAACAATCCATCGTATCACCAAAGACGGTATCAGCAGGCAAAACAGTTATGTAATAATTTGTGTGAAATTGCTAATGATGATTGTTTGTTAAGCTGTAACCTGTGTTTATCAGGTTGCAATGGCAACAAGCAATGCATGTGTTAAGGCAGAGTTAACAGATACAGCTGATATTAGTATGTCCATACCTTCTACTGGTTAAATTGATGATTAACTTTTTTACAAGTGTGCATTGATAGTGTTGTCCTCAGTGTCCAGTCACCAGAATAAATCTCTTTTGAACGCTGCTACATGATTTCGGTTTTAACAGACAAGTGCTTATTTGACCCAGTGTTCAAACGGGCTTTAAGTATATTCATTGGAGTTGTGTGATTTTTATCATAGGATTTCTGCTAACTAGGCGATGCCATTTCGTTGGTGGTAACATTTATGTCAATGGTGCTGATACTCAGTGAGCTTGTGAGGATGGATGGGGTGTACTAGTACCCAAAAGTCATCGTATGTATAGACTATTTTTGTCACTGTTCTGTACGATTTTGGCACAGTGGAAAAAAGACCTGGAAAAACCCAACATATTAGGGCAAGACAATAATGCCCCGAGTCAGTATATGGGCAAGCCCGGACAAATTAAACTAGCAACACACTGTCCCGGTCAGGCAATTACAGATACATTGGTGAGTGTAAAAAAACAATCTCAAGAGTTCAGTAGCGACGTTATGGGTGTTTGTCTGGTTTCTGTTTATCAATAAAATATTTTGAGATTTGCGCCAGTCACGGAAGTGAAGATTGCAGCCACGGTGTCTTCGATCTTAAACGAAAGCCAATGTACCCGTTTCCACTTTGCTATTTCAGTTGCCGAGTTGTGTCTCCGTGGACCGGGGAGTTTAGAATTTTGTTAAGTACAGCAAAGTAACATGCCCGATAAAAAAAAAACAAAAAAACGATATTCAGTCTGAGCACGGTGCGTAATGACTGTACAGGTATGTGTATAGTTACACCCCTAGAGGATAGTTATTCATCTGTCTCATTGGTATTTACAGCACTGCTAACGGCAATGTCTTCACTGGGGATGTGACGATGCACTAGGAGCCGGTGGAAAGTCCATGAGAATTTGTCTCGATTGTGGTTGATGTTAAACTAACAGCAATGCACATTTTGACCAGCAGGGTCGCTGCAGCTGTATAATACAACCTCGCTTTACACGCACGATAGCGGCGAGAACATTATAGCATTAAACAGTACCAAACCGTTCGGCAGCAGGTGTAGATGTCAATGTTGAGGATGCCCCATTCTCATTCAAATTGAGCATGTGGTGTCATTTTAGCTTTCCAAAGATTAAAAACTAAACCGTGAGGTGGTAACAGACAACAAACAGATGCTGCACGAAGATGCTAATACACAATAATAGCACAACAAACATGATTCAGCCA